ATTAAAATCTATTGAGATTCTGGATTTAACAGAGCTAGTTAACACTGCCTTTAAATCATTGCAAACCCAGTGATCATTTCTTTCTTTTCTTGTAGTATAAATTGCCATTTTTGCATGTACCAATATAAAATTTAAAAACTGACACTGATACTTACGACTCTGTGAATATTTAAAACCACAAATAAACACCTTCATTGAAAAACACTCATTAAAGCAATTAAAAATAATATTTAAAACAATAAATAAGGGTGTCAGTCTTGAACACTGCATAAATGCTTGGAAGACAGTTTCCTTTTGTGAACAAAAAGAACAGTTTTGATCAATATCCGGGTTAATAACAGAAACAAAAGTGTTCACTGCAATAACAACATCTCCAATTCTCTTAGATAATGGTGATGTAATGTGGTGTTTTAGGTTGTGTTTCTTGTTCATGTTTTCCTGTCTTTTATTTTGTAGTTTGATTCACCCTGTTTGTGTCATGCTTCCCTTGCCCTCATGTATTCATGCCATTGGTTCCTCTGTTCATTGTGTCATGTTCTGATTGGTTGTCTAGGTCATGTGTCTTGTTTCCCATTTGTTTGTTCATGTCATGTGACCCTCTTTGTTTGATACAAATAGCCCTCATGTTTCCCATTGTGCCTGGTCGTGTATTGATGTTGTAACCCGCTGTCAGTGAGTCTAGTCTGTTCATGCCTCGTCAAGTCTGTTCATGCCTAGTCAAGTCTGTTCATGCCTCGTCAAGTCAAGTCAAGTCTGTGTTTCTAGTCTTCATTTATTGTTTGGATGTTTGGATCACGTCTGTGAATAAACTGCACATGGGTTCTTCACTACGCTCGCCTTCAGTGGACTGATTCGTTACAGGTGACTTATACAATACTCTCCACTCAAGTTTTTCACTCTTTCAAATGAAGCATACCACGCCAAGGAGGATCAATTTTTTTTATCCAAGGTCTTCTTATTAAAGATTTGAACACAGATTTTGTAACAGACCTTTCCAGAAGTAACATCTGAACTCAGCACAATCAAATTGTTAACCTCTAAGAAACAGCCTCCACAATTGTCCATTAAGGGAGTTAAATATAACTCGGGAAAAGAATCAGTACAATCTGGATTAATAAACCCCAGTGAGTAATCCAATAACAATTTCAGTTCTTTTTCAGACAAAGCGGTCCTCCACTTGTCAAGTGCTCTGGTGACCAAACGAGTAGATCTCAACCCCAGCTTCTCAGTCACTGAACTCACATCTATAAAGTTAGCTCCAGAGTTGAGAAGATTCTCTTCTGTCACAAAGTAACTCAGTTCACTGGACAAGGCCAAACGTGAGTCAAATATTAACGGCTCGTGCAACAGCCAGAACAAAGAGTTCACAGTCCTCCTCTTTGGAATCTTGAACAAGGCCCACACTTTAAAAAGATTTGATAAAAAGCAGGAAACTTGGAGAGTTTCAGCTTCTGAGGATCACAGTGAGGCTCTATCCAATCCTAGTCCTTCAAACCCTCTCAGTGTAGAGGTTTGGGTTCTCTGAGCCTGTTAAAAGTCTTTGTATGCACTGAATGTTTGTAGATGCACCAGTCCAAGTCCTCCTTCTTCTTTAGGAAGGTTCAATACACTTTTTGGTACCCAGTGCAGCTTGTCCCAAAAAAAGTCCACTAAACATGACTGAATCTTTGATCAAAGATCTGCTGGGGGATCTATGCAACTTTTGCCTGCCATTTATACAAGTTTAATCTATAAACGTTAGCCAAGAGAGCAAATAACTTGGTTAGAGGGAGGACCAGCTTGATTTTGGTGCTCATGGAAAACATAGAAAAAATATAGTAGAAACAGTAATTACTATTTAAAAACATTACATGATTAAAAACTAAGTTTACAGGTCTAAATCTTGGGTTGTAACTCGATTGAATCCACTATTTTGCTTAATTTTTTTTCTTTACAATAATTACAATTATGACAATAAGCGACAGCGAACACACTCCACACACACACAGAATCAGTGGCAGTAAATAAGAAGGTGCTCTGTTACTGCACTCAGCATCAGTCTTATCTGTTCCTTCCTTGATTGTTATTTTGTCAAGAGATGCACAGCTGTTAGAGAGAGATACAGTACTCAAGATTAACTACAAATACATCTCTTGTGAGAAAAAAATCTACTGAAGCAAATTAAAAAACAACAAATTTAATTTAAGAAGGTGTCAGAGTTTTAAAATATTAATACTTACTTTGTATGCAATTTGCAGAATGTACCATTTGAATATGAACCAGCAGGACAGTAATCACACACTGTATCTCTGAACTCTGTTCCTACACAAATGCAATTTAAAAATACAGCATCAGTACATGAGCAATAAAGAGTTAATATAAATGCAAGCAGAGTTATTGTTCTCAGTTTTTATGGATGTATATTAAAGCTGCTCGACTGATAAAAGACTGACCGGTTTGGTTGATGTATTGTCCAGGTGAGCAGGATGAATGTTTCATGGCCCTTTTACAGTTGGAGAGCAAGTCTATACAGTAATAACCTGGCAGAGGTTCACACACTGTATCTGATATTAATGTACATATCTGCTTTACTCTCAGCCCATCATTACCTTTGACAAGAAAGCAAACAAAAACCTGGCAATGACAAGTCAGCTAGAGAAAAAAAAACTACAATATATTTGAAAGCATGAAAGCATGACGACTCACTAAGAAAGAAAGTTTTACTCACTTGTATCACAGACAGAACAGGGCAGACATTCTGTAAATCCATTAGGAGCATCAGTGTAAGTCATCACGAGGCATGAATCACATGTTGTGCTTGTGTACTTATCACAATGTTTATGAACTCGCTCTCCTAGACAATATAAAAAAAAATTGCCAGCACATTTATTATACATTATTTATACATGCCATATGTACATAACTTTTGCATGTATTTGTAACTGTGTAAGTTGTATTTATTGTATGTCTGTATATTTCTATAAACGGTGTAGACTTAAAAATGGGAATATTTGGTATGTTTCTTATGTTCTGTATCTTGATTTTATGTTAAGTACATTTCTAACGCCATAACAAATCCCTTGTGTGCTTGTGCACACTTGGCCAATAAATCTTTTTCTGATTTAGAAAATAGCCTAGAATAAATAATCAAAATAATACAAATAATCAGACTGTAATAACGCTGGGTACACAGATTTTCTAATTAATCGGGATCTTGTTATGAACAATCCCAATATTGGTTTTTGACCTCTTTTTTTTACTTTATGCCTATTTTCAGGGATATCTGCTTCTGCTGAACAACTTGACAAGTTGTGAATGTTTGCGAATCAGAATCAAAGTGAAATAAATCAGGAAATCTGCATCAATATCCAACCCTAGACTGGAGTCATGTTGTGTTTAATGCAATGATGGATAGATCAGTGATTCCAAACCATCTTCTATCTTAGAAACCACTAACCTAGACCTTGAAATCTATTTGTGGATTTAGTAACTATAATAATATCTGTCAAATAAGTGACTTATAATAAAAAATAGAATCAGAAATAAAACTGTGTACTATATAAATAGATTTCACACTGTAATTCAACACCTGGCCTGTCCTAGTTGTTTCTATACATTATTTTATACCAGATGAAGGGAATGTACCACAAGTGTAATTTCTGTTCAAACATAGAAGATTATTTTATGATATGAGCATATTACAGTTGTTCATCAGTAATAATGAATGATACAATTTAAAGCCTATAATGAAAAAGTATCATATATGACCCCTTTAAGTATCTGGGGTCATCTTTATCTATTGTGGGTTTGAGTGAAGAGCAATCTTATCCAGGACTTACCTGGATCACACATCGGGCAACACTCTCCATCAATTTCATATTCTGCATTATTGCATGCAGCCACACAAAGCACAATCCTCACGAAGAGGAGGGGAAGCAATTTTGATAGACTATAGAATATACACATATCTGGGAACTAAATAAATCATCTGCAGAGGTAGTCATTTTCATGGAGCTGAAAAAGAGATTTGTGTTAGATGGCTTTCAGAAAAATAGACAGAAATAAATTGTGCCAGACACTTTTAAATCCATTTTACTAAAATGTATGGGCCTCAAAACTAAACACCAATTATGCATTGACTCATTATTTTATACATTAATGCACCAGCAGGTGGCATGCCAACTCCTTAAGACAAGGGGAATGACAATTTACAAAATGCCTATAATTCATATTATACAACATATATTTAGGAAAGAAAGTTAAAGCATTTCTTTTTTAATTAACATTTGAAGATGCTGAATAACTCAATTCACTACATCTTATCAAAAGACAAAACTGCTCTAAATATAGTTCAATTATAATCTAGTTAATTATAAGTGAGAGGAATACAAAGGAAATGTATTATATAAATACCAGATGAATCATACAGCAATCTCACATGGGTTTGCAGGTAAAGCTCCCATATCTATACCAAACAGAAACGTGGGTGAGTGAAGTACTGTGAAGGTTTGAAATAAAGTATTTATTTAAATCACACATAACTATAAAAACATAAAATGTTCAACATTTACAATTCATGGTGCATAATGTTTATCTATGCTTTAGCCAATCAGAATACTGAAACTTGAAGTAATGACTGCTAATGAAAAACTCCTTGCTGAGTACTGAATTTAGTTTAACACAAGTATTTTCTACCTTCCACCTCGCCCTGCAATTTAAACAAGAATCTGGACTTTTATGTAAATGGCTCCAGTCATAATTACTTTACCATTTTACAACAGGGACACAAAAAACGCAAGGAAGGTTACACATGACTACACGTGGCAAGGACAACATCAGTTGTAATTGTCAGGGAATTCAGGGGCAGCTCTTCATATGAAAGATGACCTTTCAGTGTGTTCTTTTGATATTCATCTTTTGTGAGTCACTTTGAATAGAAGCACCTGCTAAATGAATACATGTAAATGTAAATGAAAGAGCAGGGGAGTTAATTAATGCTAATCGCGGCCACTCTAGTCAATGCTTGTGTTTATACCAGCCGCGCTGCGCACATTTCAGAAGCGTTTTTGACTTGTAATCATAGGAAAACCACTTTTAGTGCTATTTAGCACCTATTTTTACAGGTGCTATAGAAGAACCTTTTTTTTTTTTTAGAACTTATCGCGAGAGGAAACAATTACGTTTTAGTCGCAACACATCGGTTAATGGAAACGCCGTCATATCACAATACTTTTTTTTATCAACATTTACAAAATATCGCCTAAGTTTTGGGCAAATCTGTAATGGAAATGCGCCTATTGCAGCTGCAGCAGATGACACGAACGTTACAGAAACTACAGAAAATGAGCCAGATGCGAGGCTGATGCTATAGGCGGTACAGAAAACGAGCCCGATGCTATCATAACTAGACATGTGCTAGTATTCGGTAATGCGATATATCACGATAATTAACATGCACGATATTGTTATCGTGGGCACTTCAAAATACAGAGAATTACTTATTACAAATTATACAGAATTTTGAATGCATTTTAAGAATGCTTTTCCCATCAACTGGTCACAATGCACTGCTGTATGCTGCGTCAAAGACGTGGACTCTAATGTAAACAAGCACGCATGAGAAGCGCATGGCGGAGCGCGTGAGAGACGCTCTGAATAAAAGCACACTCTCTCTGACAGTAGATGGCGCTGAAGAGCAGAAATGCAGCCGTTACTCCGGAAACCCCGTAAACAAAGCAGCTGCGCTACTTTCTGTTTCTGAAACGTATTTAAATGATTTAAACAGCCATTCAGATTTGTGTATTCTCTATGGTGTTCATCACAGCGCCAAATACTTAAATATTTAGAATAATAGGCTATTTATTTTCAATTTTTTGTTACATTTTAATCTGGACTAACATGCCCTAGATATTGTTTGAAAGTGTTTTGATTCTTTATTGTTCACACTTTACATTAGGGCTTCATTAGCTAACATTAGTTAATTCATTAGTTAATATAAACTGCCAATTAAAAATTCTTCTGAACATTTATTAATCTCAGGTAATTCCAATATTTAATAACACATTGTTAAAATCAAAAGTTGCAACTGTGTTATTTAATGAGCTAACATGAACTAAGAGTTGTATTTTTTAGTTATTAAAGTTATTAAACATGTTACACTGTATTATGAAAACACTTTTTTGCAACAAAATTTCAATATCATGATAATACCGTATACCGTGATAAAAGCATTAGCAATTAATCGCAACATGAAATTTTGATACCAGCATATCCCTAAACTTAACATTACCTGGTAAATTAATGTAGCATATATGTTATCATTAACATAACAGCAGGGGATTATTGGCATATAATAACAATGAGTTTCTCTTTTTTCGCTGGATTAACATTAAATACAGCCAGCAGCTGGTAAATGCGGATGCTTTAATAATCCAATGATCCATCCCATTTATTTCAACAGTTTGTTCACTTGAGTAATACACGACTGTTTTCGATGATATTCGCCATGATATCATTGACATGAAGCGCCAGAAGCAGCGAAAGTGACCACGAGACGTGGCTCTATCACACAACACAGCTCGCAAGCACTGAATTGAGTTATTTCATGTGATCTTGTGCTTAAATGGTGTAAAATCGCTTGAATGTTTTAATTAGCAAGGCTTAAAAACACGTACAAATTATTCATTTTTTTGAGGACACAGCATTGTCATCAGTTATCTGTCCCGACTCCCGAGCGTCTTTCATACTGACCTCCGGACATCGGACAGTCATTATTCTAGAAATCTGAAAACGAAAGTAAAAGAGGGCAGTTGAAAGATTTCTTATCCTGTGGCTCCCTCTAGTGGACTGCAGTTGTGCTCTATAGGGGGCAATATTTGCTCAGCCAATGTAAGTCTATGCTAAATTTTTGATTATTGATAATTAATACGAAAACTGTAAGTCCAATCAGTTAGAAAAGATAAAGCAACAAACTACAGATCCGGTCCAAGAATAATAAAACGTTTAAATAGAATAATAGTTTTCTCAAGCCAACATAACTAGCTAATAACTTCACTAATGTTAGTGCGGTGGGTCAATGAATGCGGGAGAAGGGGAGAGATAACTTAGATACTGTGTATGTGTTGTGTTGCTTATAATAAATGTTGATAAAACATAAGCAGAAGCAGAGGCTGGGAGGGGAAATCCCAGTATATTCACTACAAAAAACTAGACTACACTGCAGTCTCTAAGCATGCGCATCACTGCTAAAAAAAAAAAATTTAGCATTGAGATTAACAAGAATACAAAATAAGAAACTCACAAAAATTGCAGAACAGTAGCTATAGAGTTATTTGCGACACATAGCACTGTGGAAACATTTAAAAGAGAAAGAGCAAAAACCATTACAAGCACCGACAGCGAGAGACTGTTTAGCACTGCATCTCATGTCTTCGATGAGAAGAGGAGGGGTGGGTGTTGGTGGTTTCTGTATGAGGGTTGAAATAGCGAAATGGCCTTAAAGGGTAATGAAACCCCCGGTTTCATCACGGGTCAGTTCTCTCACCACAGTTTTAATAAACGCTAAAAAAAAGTGTGCGTGGTGCGGGGGCGCGGGGTGGGTACCTTTTGACGGGTTGTGTCACGGAGTTGTAAAAACGGTTATAATCACTAAGTGAATGAATCTCGTTTGTGCCGAACTCTTATTACAAAGCAAAAACAAACACTCTTCTTCGATCCATGAACGTTTCTCTCAGTTAATGTGCGCGATGTCATCTCACAGTCTGAAGCGTCTGACATAGCTCATCAACACATGCTGTTGTGAATAATTAAGCAATAGGATAAGAACACGCAGTCTCATGAATAATTTAATAGACACCGACGCGTCATCGATGTACTATCGTCCTTTGCCACGTCACAAATTGTGATGTCAACACAATGAAGATTTTAAACCCGGACGATGAAAATAGCACAAAAAATCTTAAAATTAACCAGTTTTCTCCAACAGTTAAAATAATCGGATGCTAACATTGTCTTCTATGATGTGCAACACAAACACTCTGCTGAAATCTCAAAAACAGTAGTCTGGGGTTTCATGACCCTTTAACCAATTAGTAAATAAACTGCAGAATGTTATGTTTTCTAATGCACTCATGGATTGCATGCTCAGTGACATTTTTATGAATTTTTACAAGGCATGGATGTGACAATGTGATAGTTGCAACAAACATCTTCCCAAATTCGTAATGAGAATCATTTATAAA